GCCATTTGAATGCAGTGAACTCATTATCATGTTCAAGAGACCAGTTTAAAGTTTTTTGGGCCTTATAACATGGCACCTCATAATGCTAGAAGTAGCCATCAGAAAGGTACAGTTTGGCCATAAAGGGATGCATGTGGTCAGCAACAACACTCCCCCATACCCTCAGGCCACCAGCATCTGTGTGATCTATACAAGGCAGGATGGATCCCTGGTTTCATGTTTCCTGTTTCCATTTCCTGTTCTTAACTGACAGGAGTGGCACTTGTGTGGTCTTCTGCTACTGTGGGCCCTTCTTCACTTGTGCATTCTGATTCTGCATACCTTGGTTGTTGCAAGTGATCCTTGACTGCACATCAGGTCAAAGCAGTCTGGCCATTATCTCTGACCTCTGATCAACATGGCAGTTTTGCTCAGAGAACATATGCTCACTGGATATTTTCTCTTTCTCACACCCTTGTCTGTAAACCCTAGAGATGGAGGTGTGGGAAAATCCCAGTAGATCAGCAGTTTCTGAAACACTCAGGCCAGCCTATCTTGCACTAACAACCATACCATGTTCAAAGTCACTTAAATCATCATTCTTGCCATTCCAAACCTGAGTTTGAACTTCAGCAGGTTATTTTGACCATATCTATATGTCTACATGCATTAAACTGCTGGCATTGGCTGATTAGCTATTAGCATTAATGAGCAGTTGAACAGGTGTAGCTAATGAAGTTTGCTGGTGAGTGCATAATAAGTGCATTGACAGACGTCAAGCCATATCTCACTTTTTAAAGTGTCTTGGTGAAGAACAAGAGTTAGGTAGGTGGGGGATCCTTAATATATATCACTGCAGCGTAGTTGCATGAAAGGATTCACCTCAGACTTCCCAAATTTATCTTTATTGTAACTCACACTGCTGTAAGTGCTTTACAACCCACAGGCTTTTTAAAATGTCATTATTCTGGACAGAATAACTGGACAGAATTAATCTCTGCCTTTGAAATAGGGTCAGGCCTGTCTGCTGGGTGGTTTTCTGGGGGACTTATTTCTTATAAGACTTAGAGACATTTGGGATTGGTCAACATCTGTCCAGCATTTCAGATGAATTAGGAAGCCTTTCAGGCTCCCTGTCCTACTGCATGTAGCACTCTGCAGTAATAGTAGAGCTGGTAAACTCTGAGAGAAACTGTAGCATAACCATAAATAACTGCAAAATGGCTCTCACTCTGTGCTGGGATAAAACAAGGGCACTTAAATAAGGGAAATACATAAAATGCTTTGATTTCTTATTTATGCATTTTTTTTTCTCTTGTTGATCTTGGTTGATGATAAATATCTCACACCTGTGACGTTAGTGACATGAACACATGACAGGACATAGTGCTGAGCCAGCCATAGAGTGGTGTTTCTTGCTTTCATGGCACCAACCAGAAGAGATTTAAGGCTGAAGCACAAAAAAGAGTTTATATTAAACTGCCAACTACATATTTTTTACTTATTATTGCTGTTCAGTATCATTAATCTTTTTCATCATCAGGGTCATTATTTTCTTATGTATTATATTAAATTCTCTATCAGATGAACATTAAAACCACCTGCCTTATGAAGTCTAGGTGAACCAACAGTGCTTTGGACAGCACATCCCACAGTAACATCCACATGAATGACAGAACCCTGGGATTCCCAGCAGATCATTGCATTGTAACGGGATGATAGGTGTAGACACTGACTGTGTCAGTTGGGTTAATGTTGTGTGATTGGTGTGATTACTGCACCCCCCACCCCAGCCCACTTGGCTGTCAGAGTATGTCCAAGCTTTGTATAAATAAAAGTAAAACCATCTCTGTTTCTTTAATTCGGATTAAGTATTGAGGAGGAACCACCAGCCCACAATGTTCCTCCACAGTCCTGACAAGAGATACTAAGAAAGAGTAGGAGGAAAATGAGAGCAAACGAGCGACTTAAATAGACCATGAGAGAGAGGGAGAGGGCAAGTGGGAGGGAACATGGTAGGGACAGATGGAGGGAAAGAGGAGGAGATGTAGGGAGGGATGAGACAGGGGGAAAAATGGTTTGGCTATATAGCAAATGGGAAATGAGGTACGCAGAGAGTTTGAGGCACAAACAGAGGGAGACAATTCCTTGGTTCATTATCAGCAGGGCAGTTTATCAGTTTAAAATTTCATGAGTAGAGAAACTTATTTCCCTCGTTCCTCTGTTTCTCGCTGTACTGAAAGCTATTGGTTTATGGTTTCTCCCAGAAAGAAATATACATGTAAATAATTTATGCTTAAAATTCATCCAGATGAAACCATTAGCAGAGTTTTGTCAGACTTGAACTTTTACCATTGTTATTGCGTGAGCCGCAGAAGACTATTCAGAAACCCGTGATTGTGTGTTTGGCCAGTGTCAGCAGGATTTTTGCCTGTTAAATGAAGATGAATGTTTTGCAATCAGCTCGGCTCGCTGGAGTATGAAGAGCTGTTTTCTGATCCTCAGGGTATGCAGCATAGCACCTCTGAAGATGCAAGAATCCTGCCTGTTCCTCTTTAATTTCACATATCAATCTTCAATTTGCCAACACAACATCTTGCTCCTTCTGGCTTCCATTTGCTTCACGCACGCTTCCTCTTTCCTGCCGCCTTTTCTCTCAATCCCTGCCTCCACTTGTCTCCCTCTTCTTGTCATTAATGCGTCTTGTCTTAGTTTCTCTATTCTTGTCAAAAGACAGCTGGAAACCACAACAGATGGGTGAATTTATGCCTTGAGTGGAAGAGCAAAAATATTGAAACTGTGTCTACCACTGTGCTAAAGTTGTTTGCTCCCAGTAAGTACTCAAGAGCGTCTTTCAGTGTATGAGGTGAGAAAAAGGAAAAGCTGCCTGTTTACTTTCGCTCACATTTACTGATAACTCTCTGTGGGATTGCTGAGATTAAAGCAGCCTTGCATTGTCTCAGAGGATATGTAGCTCAGCTTCTGAGCAGCAGTTCCCCAGCTATAGCAGGTAGCTCATATGCGCGGGGTCACCTTGGGGATGTAATTGGAGAGAGTGACGAGGGATGAGGCAGTGGGCAAAGGATGAATGGGCAGCATGCCAGTGAGAGGCTGCTGTAAGATTAGTGATTGACAAAAAGATGCTGGGTGGAAGAGAGAACAGAAGCTATAATCATCATTCATCTACCACATTATCTTTTATTGTAGTCCTGAAGGAATTTGACCAAGAGTTATGTGTGTGTGTGTGTGTGTGTCAGGGAGTGATTGTAGGGGAATTCTTCAACCCACTAATGATAACTACAGGGTATAATGGACAAAAAGCCAGATTGGTTGAAATTAGACACGCACCCAAACACACCCTTAACAGCTGTAGATCTAGCTGCCCTCTCTGCCTTCAGATATTCTTTCCCTTTTGTCAGTATGAGCAGTTATTTCTGTAAATCATGTTGTCAGAAGGTCACACATTTCACATACGCCATTTGACTTTTTCGAGCCTCTACAAAGGAGCACAGATGAGACTAATCGGTCTCTTAAACACAAAGTCATGCACGCACACTTGGAAAGACTTTAACATGGGATCTACAGATGGCTCCCTTAATGTGTTGTCAGTGTCTATTAGAGTGCAGGCAATGAGTCTGGCATTGTGGCAAATGATGCTCAAGCCACTGGCCACACTATGAAAATGCACACAGGTGCACTGTAACTCCAGGAAGCTAATGAAATTACGCTCTGCACCAGCGACTCACTGGTATCAAGAAGATCTCAATCGATACCTTCACATCTCATTACACTTCTATCTCCGGAAAGACCCCGTGATTAGATGGGCACATGACCACCACATGCACATGAGCATGCACGCACCTAAAAGCTACCCTTATTAGCAATTCGTTTTTGTTCAAATTAGCAAAGAGCCAATAAAAACAGATAATGTAAAATATCAATGTGGACTTGAATTACTTGTGTTCACTTAGCGTGGAAGCGGGAACGAGATATAGAGGGATAAAGAGGAGGGTTAGCCTACAACATTGCAGCATTGCCCAAGGGATGCAGCGGCAACAGCAGCAGCAAAGACTGCGGATTCCTGGAGCCCCACGAAATGAAGGCATTTGGGGTGGGGGTGGGGGTGTAGATGGGAAAGAAGATGTGCTGCGGGGAGGGAGGTGGGAGGAGATGGATGGCTGGTTGTAAGGGATTAGAGGAATAGCTCATCAAGCATTCAGAACACGGATTCTCTCATGCTCCCACAAGGTGCCTTTCACACATGCACACATATGAGCACGTGTGCCCACACGCTAACGCCATTACGTGTGCGCTGTTGCTATTTCTGACTTTAAAAAAAATCAAGAAAACCCACAGCATTTCTCAAATTACCCTCTCAGCTGACTTTAGCTCGCATCCATCGCAACATTTGTTCATTCTCACACATGATGTAAAATATGCAGCAAATAAAGATCTAAACTGGGCAGTGAGTAAAATATTCCCTTTAAGCCTAATCCGAAAAGTGTACGACACAGCGGAAAAAAAAGACCAGAATGAACTGTGTTAGGGGAGAAAACCTGCAGTTCTTATTCATTTGAACCTCCTCCCTTTCGTGTTTTTACTCGTTCTCCTCAATTGCCTCCTCAGCAAATCCCTTCATTCCCTCTTTCCAATGAACAGGCTGCTTGTGGAGTTTTCTCTATAAGAGCCAAGAAAGAGGGGGACTACCGTACAGTACATGAGAGGATTTCGTCAGCTCTCCCCTTTTCCTCCACCAAGCACCTCAGCAGAAGTGTTTTTAGTGAAGCAGTTTAATCCAGCAAATAAGAGCACACATGATGTAGCTATATTACTTTCTTTATATGCTATGAGCATACAGTAAGACATTTGCTCCAACAAGAATCAAATGACTCAAAACTAAAGCTGCTTTGCTTTCACAGAAAAAACCTCACATCACTTCCAGACGCTCTCGCTTTTCTGTCTCCTTGACTTTCTTCTCTGTGTGTGTGTGTGTGTGTCATTGTCTGGTCATTGTCGCACAGATAACAGTTTTCCGGATGGGATCGGAAGGTCATCAAGACATCGACCTTGCCATTCTCACTGCGTTACTCAAAGGTGAGTATGTTGATACGTGTGTGTGTGTTTGGTGTTTGTTGAGGCATGAGTCCACAGTGAGTGACTTCAATTTCACTCCTCAAATGTTGTTATTTGGCAGTTTCTTTACATGAAAGGAAGATGACTGTTTCAGAAAGCGTTCCTTCCTCATACACTGTTCCAGTTAGTTGCTCAAATCGCACAGGTTTCTGGGGTTACACCTCGTAGCTCTGGAATAAAACACAGAGAAATCTGTGCGTATTCTTCCATTTAGTATTTTTTGATAAAAGCAAATTTTATATTATGTTATCAGTTGCTTTCGATCCAGTACGGAAGTGAAAAATGGGTTGACATTTTGTATTCGCTTATCGTCTAGTTTGCATCCAGCGGTTATAGATGACCGACTTTTCACCTTGCTAATTTTTTTCTTTTTTCATTTTTGTGATAATTCCACTGAATGCTGGTTTGACCTACACACTTGTTATACAGAGATGATGAAATATTATTCTTAGGTGATCGTGTTCTGCACGTTAACATAAATGTCTCATCAGCCAGTCACATGGCAGCAACGCAATGCTTTTAGGTGTGTAGACAGAGTCAAGACGACCTGCTGAAGTTCAGCCTGAGCATCATAACAGGAAACAAAGGTTTAACATTTAAGTGACTTTGTGTCATGGTTGTCGGAAAAAGACGGGCTGGACTGAGTATTTCACGTGAGCTGAATTTCTCTGGGTGAAAATTCCATGTTGATCCCAGAGATCAGAGCAGAATGGACAGACTGCTTCAAGCTGATTGGAAGCCAACAATAAATCACATAATGATTATACAGCCAACGTATACAGAAGAACACTTTAAAACGTAAGACACATCAAATCTGGTAGCAGATGGTTTTCCAGAAGCAGAAGACCAGGTGCCACTCCTGTCAGCTCAGAACATCAACAGTTACCCCAGAATTGGTCTATAGATATGACAAACTTTGCCTGTTATGTTGAGTCTAGATTTCTGCCAAAACATTCTGATGGTAGAGTCAGAATTTGACGTAAACAGCATGAAAGCATTGAGCCTTCCTGCCTTTTTATCAATGGATCAGTCTGCTGGTGCTGGCATAATAGTGTGGGGGTATTTTCTTGGCTTGCTTGGTGCCCCTTAGTACCAGCTGAGCATGGTTTAAATGGCACAAGCCACCTAAGTATTGTTGCCGAAAATGCCCATCCCTTTATGACCACATGCAGTATAAAGCATCTTCTGATGGCTGCTTTCAGCATGATGACACGTCACAAAGCTCAAATCACCTCAAACTTTTTTCTTAAACATGACAATGAGTTCAGTGTATTCAAATGGCCTCCACAGTCACCAGATCTAAATCCAATAGAGCATCTTTGGGATCTGGTGAAACGGAAGATTCACATCATGGATGTGCAGACAGCAAATCTGTAGCAACTATGCTATCGTGTCAATATTGACACAAAATCTCTGAGGAGTATTTCCAGCACCTTGTTGAATATATGCAATAATGAATTAAGTCTGTCCTGAAAGCAAAAGGTGGTCCAATCTAATGCTATCAAGGTGTAACTAACAAAGTGAGTGGTGAGTGTATATTTAGGTGTCTAATTGTTTAAGTAATTACTTAAACATAAGGGGGTTGCAGCTCTATTTTCCCAACAGTTACAGTATTAAAGCCATTACAGGCAGGCTTACAGTGAGCTCAGCTTTCTCATTTTGTATGCTAATTAAAAACCTGAGATAAAAATAACACCTGTAAAATCATCAATTAGCGCAAACACAGCTGCTCATTACCTCTGTGGCCAGAGACAAGTAATTCCAGGATGACACTGCCAGTCCCCTGTAAGTGCCCTGTCTTTTGTGACATTTTCTTTGAAGAATATATTTGCATTTAAGTTGCACTTATGAAATACATTTTCATGAGGTAAAAAAGTTCTTTGTGAAAGCCATATATCATCTAAGCACAGCTCATGTTGTAAAATATCTTATATTTACACATGTACAGAACTTTATGTGGCATGGCCGTTCAAGGGCTGCAGTCATGGCCAAAAGATTTGGACCACGAGGAGTTTAAACTCCCTTTTAAAGGAGAAACACTGAGTACTCTGGGATTGCACGTCAGATCACCTTATAAAATATCTCATAAATTGCTCCTCAGAGACAAGCTAATAGTGATTTAAAGGCTCATATCCTTGTTGTTTCCTCCTCCATTTATCACACTGCAACACATTCTATTTAATCAGCATGACAACATGAGGACTGACACTGTGAAATATGCACAAAGAAACACCGAAGAACAAACCATTATGACCAGCCCTGCGTCATGTGCTGTTGGTCTTTGCTGTGACAGTAAAACACTTCACACCCACTGAGTTATGGACTACAAGACTTCTAAAGAGAAGTTTACATTTTTAGGGTATATCCCACAACAGCCCTTTCATGTTTAATGGTTTGTTCCTCTCCAAATCACTGTTTGTAAGTATTCATTAATACTGGCCATGAATGATTCACAAGTACTGCCATTTTTGAGATGCTCTGAACAGTTGTCTGGGCACAAAAATTTGGAACTTGGAAAAAAGATGCTCAGTCTTTTACAACTTCCCATTCTCCTAGATCCAATACATTGACTGTGAGTAACATAATGCTTTGGTTCATGAGCATACAGTTGTAAAAAGGCTCATATTCAAGCTGTTCTGTAACAAATTCCTATACATTTGTTAATAATGAAAAATTACCAGCATAAGCCACACACACACACACACGAGTGGGAGAGAGAGGGGATCCATGGATCCATTTGCTCAATTGGTTGTTCAGCAGGTTGTATTGATTGTGGTTTCTGTTGCTTCTCCTATGCTCACAGGAGATTGCATGCATTTTCTCTTCCTGTCACACACTCACTCACACACACACACTAGAGACTAGAAGTACAGACATCATGCCTGCATGCCAAGGATCAGTGATTCCTGTGGGAGTGCTTAGAAATTCAACACATATGATTGGCTGTCTCAGGAATTGTTCCCTAGAGGAACATGCCAGTCCACAGACAAGGAAAAAGTGCAAAAGAGTAGCTTGCAGTGATGATGAATAATTTCTTTGGCCCATCCATTAATTGTCTTCATTCCAAACTCTTTTTCTCCCATTCTGTTACCTTTTCTATATATACATAAGGTTAATGTGTTTAATGAGATCTGCTATTCATGTCTATTCACATTGTTAGAGAAGCTTTTGTGAATAAGTGAAGGAAGAATGTGAAATCAAAGAGCAAAAACGCAAAATAGCAAAAAGAACATAATAAAAAAGAAATTAGAAAAATTAAAAATGAGTTAGGGGCAAAATTGTCTTATGGTCAAAAGCACGGGGGCCATTTCAGATACAATTCTCATTCTGCAGCTGCATGAATGAGATGTGTTCAAGGCTTTTAGTGTAAAATGAAATCGGTCACATCCTGCCTGAGAGCTTTTTAAAACACTGGATTAGACTCCTTCGCCAAGGAACTAAGCCACTGCCTGAAGCTCAACAAAAAAACCAAAACATCACAGTCAGGAATGCACAGAGTGGAGCGAACTGAGCAAGAATCGAAGAAAGAGAATTTAAGGGGTGAGCGCGAGCCTCTGTAAGAAAGATAGAAAGATTAAAAGAAGTGGAAGGAGACATCGCAGAGAGGAAACAACAACTACACACAGATGGTGCCAGTGTGGTGAGGTGGGAGTAATTGATGGCCTGCTGTCTGGGGTAGTCAATATCCTAAAGATTGGGTACATAAAGTCAGTTGACTTCAGTCCAACCCTGCAGGCAGAGAGAATGAAGTCACAGGCCTTTGATAAAGCAGGACCTCCTTTCCTTTTCATATATACATATATCCCCTAAAACTCCTATTAGTGGGCACTGCCAATTATCAGTGAGACTCGGTCAGAACTCACTCCATTAAGCACTAGTGATGCAGCACAAGCCTTGAAGTCAGAGAGAGCAGGCTGTAAAGTGATGATATTGGGATTCTTAATAAAAATCACACCATCTTGTCAAACTGGGGATATTATTGTGCTTTAACTTACAGTTGATTTGTCAAAAGGCTAAAAAATCAATTTCTTCCTTTGTGTTTTTCTTGTTTTTCTCTGTTTGCACTACGCTAAAGTATTGTTGGGAACAGCAGGCTGTGATCTTGAATTACGTCTCATTAGTCAGCATTTGCTGAAATGTGTTGGTACAAACAGGTACAACGACAAAAAATAATATCTCTCATGGACTGACTGTCTAGTCACTTCAAATGCTGTAAGTGCTTTTTTTAATGCAACCTTGAAAAACTCAGTTAATTCCAAAAGACGACAGAAAACAAGAGGGGAGAGAAAAAGGAAATGAAAGGAGTCCATGAATATATTCGAACCACACTGCAATTTCATTATGATATTCATTTCAGTCACAGTCACCATTTAGAGAAAAATAGCTCAACAGATTTACACAAATCTTGTAAACAAGGTATTTTTTTCCACCCAGCATTACACTCAATTTCATCCACTCACCCTCTTTTGTTATTATTATTATTACTATCATTTTAATCTTGCATTTGCATACAGTGGAGTTCTTTTACTTTGTCTTCTAGTTATGTTACTGATATGTTTTCTGGAGGATCGAAGTGAAGGATCAGAGTACTGTAAATGTGTTTGGACACAGAAATCAAAGGAAAAATGTGTAGTCCACATTTTCTGCAGGGATGAGTTAGAGTGTTAAAGAAATGCTTATATCAATGAGTAAAGACGGGTTCTTCTGTTTTACAGACGACAAGCGCAGCAAAGGCACAATACTATTCAAAAGAGCTTCAAGTAGACCAAACCTTCGTCTTGTCACAATAACATTTTGCAGTTTAGCCAAGCACTTCAGCAAAATGATTCATGAGCGTTAACCTTGGCAGTCCCACTGCAGTACTTTACAAATATACAAATTCTGCAGAGTAATAAATCAACACAATGTCCATTTAGAATAATCATAAAAAAAATTTTATTTTGGTTGACTCTGACATATTAATGTTGATATATTGATCAAAGATATAGATGTGGCAGTGAGGATATACTAGAATATATACTTATATTTTATAGCTGTGTTTCTCCTAAAGAAAAACTTGTATGTGTAACATTCCATACCAGGTGCTAATGCTTCAGCCCCAGATCAGCTGAGTTTGGCTTTGGCGTGGAACAGAGTGGACATCGCACGGAGTCAGATCTTCATCTACGGACAGCAGTGGCCTGTAAGAAGCAGATACAGTATAAACCAGAATATATGTGATATATACATACTGTGTTATTACTTATATTCACAGGATGTTTGAACCTGATTTATTCGCACTGACGCGATGAAACAGACTGTTAAAAAAACTGTCTCAACTCTGAGTTTCACAGTAGTTGAATTTGAACTTAATGCTAATACTGCTCTAATAATTATAACAATAATAGCTCATGATGCTCAAAGTTGTTTACATGAGAAGAAATACTTGATGCAGTTCTTGTGTATAGGATGTGATATCACTGTATACTGTGTATGTCCTAGGTTGGTTCCCTGGAGCAGGCGATGCTGGATGCCTTAGTTCTGGACAGAGTTGACTTTGTCAAGCTACTGATTGAAAATGGAGTCAGCATGCACCGTTTCCTCACTCTTTCCAGGCTGGAGGAGCTCTATAACACGGTAATGACAAGCATAAAGTGGTGAAAACACGCTTTAAAAAAAACCAAAACTCATTCTGTTACGTTTTTCTTTCTTTCAACAGCGCCATGGACCATCAAACACGCTGTACCACCTCGTCAGAGATGTCAAAAAGGTATGACCATCACTGCCGTCCCAGTAGCTCTGTTGCTGTTCAGTATGGGAATGTGGTATATTAAAGAAGACAAGTTTGACTCCATAGAGTTGCAGTTGCTTTTTTTGTGGTGTGTGTTGTTATGCTGTTTGCATCACTCCGTATATATCTACATTTTGCACTAGTTGCTGTAAACTGCAAATAGATGCCGGCCGGCTTTTCTTTTTCAGCTGGAGTTGCGGGCTGCAGTGGCTGTGTAGTGCTGTGCACGACTCTCATCCCTCTCATGATTCCTCAGTTTACTCCTTTCTTTATCAAAGGCACACACCACCACGGTAAACAAACACTACATGTATTAAATATTGTTTTATCCGCAGAACTCGGAGCAATACTGAGCAAAGTGAGACCACAATGGAAATGCTGCGAGGCTGAAGAGCTTAGTAGTCCCACAGTTTGTTTTAGTTTTAACTTGTATTTTAAATGGCCTGTAACTTGATTTCTTGAATAGTGATAGTTGAGACACAAGGTGATTCAGAGAGCTTACGGGGGTGATAGAAAAAAACATTTATAACATTTAAATAAGGGATGTCAAACTCATTTTATATTGTGGGCCACTTGTCCCCACTTTGATCTTACGTGGGCCGGCCAGTGTGAAGAAGTGTAACTACACATTTAATCTGTGAGATATTTTAATATAGGAAAAAGACGTGTAATTTCAGCAGCACGTCTCAGTTTTTGTACATGATAAAGAAATGCTGCTTCAGTACATTAAAAAACGTGTCTTTGGGCTTAAATTGTAAGGAAAAAATGTGTAAAATGACAGAAAAAGCTCTGGCATGCCATTGCCTACACAGGGTTTTTTTTCTTTTCCTCTGAAACCAATGTAAAATCTGATTTTTTTTTTAAAATGTTTACTATATATTAGATAGCAGAAAAAAGCTTAACACGCCCCAAAAAAAACTTCTATGGTGCCTTAAAATTGCTCATGATAAAAGGTGACAGCATATATTTTACATTCAGCACATATTATAGTTTTGAGAGATGAATGAGAGGTCAACAACCATTACCATTAGCATGGAGACGTGCTCATTAATTATAGTGTTACTAATTGCAGTGACGCCACATGCGCCTCTGAAAGTGTCTGTAATCTACCCTCCTTTACTTCTTCTCCTATCTTTGCACAAACTTTGATCTCATGCTGGTATAGAAAGCAGGAACACGCACAGTAACTGCCATCTCACTGCACCATTTCACCAATGTGCAAAACATACACTGTAGTGCATGGCATAACGTTACCATCTCCTTTCTGCAGAGCTGTGTGTAATTGCAATAGTGTTGCTGAGTGTTTGTGTGTCACTGTTCTATCATGGTATGGTGCTAATTAGATTTAAATTTAGATCTTCATGTCATAGCTGCTTCCTTTCTTTCTCATTGGTCTTTGAAGCCTGTTAGGCTTTACCGCTGGCATTTAATGGCTATTAATTAGATTTAAATTGCAGGTATTTTGCTAATATCAGCGCTATGGGTGAATGCAGGCTGTATTCAAGTTCAATCATAGAAATGGGTTTCTGTACCACACCTAGTAAATAATCAAATGAATAGCAGAGTAAATGAACATTGTAGCTTTATGTACAATTTGTGGCTTTAGTGTTGCTTTTCAAACAGGGGTTGGGAAGGCATCCTAATGTAGTAGCAGTGTGCTTTTTACCCTCAGTTTGCTTTGCTATTTACAAACTGAGAGCTCAGGAGATCGCTAAGAAGGGTAAGAAATGTGGATCCAGCACACAGCACAGTATATATTTCACCAATGTCTTTACAATTGTCATCAGAGAGGTTCACATAGTTTGGGCAAAAGGTACCTTTGTCAAAGCACCCTGGTTTAAACTATAGCTGTAAATGTTAGAGGCAAATTTTAAAAGTTTCAGTTAATCATTAGTAAGTCTGCTAGGACTCAAAGCTAACTACACAAGAATATTAAGAACTGTTCTGTAAGAGCTCAGAGTGCATTCATAGAAGCTATTAGCTTGACCTTTAACACCAATTACAGGAGGGATCAACAGCTACTTGCTGGTACATGTGTATATACTGCACATTCATTTATTAGTGTAAGAGAGTGGAGAACAATTATTATTGAAGTTATTTTTTTAAAAGTACATGCCATGACTTTTCCAACATCATTGATCCTCTTTGAAAATTTGTCTTCAGGTAAAGGTGATAAAGTCAAACAAACAACATGCTAGTGCATCTCAAAAACTTATCATAGTGTGAAAAGGTTCCCTTTTTGTTTTTATTTTCCTATTATGGCTTATAGCTCGCGAAAATACAAATTAAAATATTTAATTTCAAATTTGAGCAAATCACTATTCAAACAGTATAAATACAGTGTAAATATTTGTGAGAGCAACCACAATCACAGAGACGCCTGTTGACTTGGCAGTTGTCCAGATAACTTTCCACAAGGAGGGTAAGCCTCAGAAAAGGCTACCTGTTTGCAGAGTGCTGTAGCAAAGCACATTAATGAAGAGTTGCCTGGAAAGGAAAAATTAACAAAAACAGAAATGCAAAGACTGTCAAGAAAAGTCAGTTCAACAACTTGGGAAAGCTTCACAAGGACTGGACAGAGGCTGGTATCAGTGCATCAAGAGCACCACGCACAGATGTTTTTAGGAAAAGGTTTTCAACTGTTACATTTCTAATATCAACCCACTCCTGAACAAGAGACAATATTAGAAGTCTCTTACCTCTCCCAAGGAGAAAAACAGAACTGGACGGTTGCTCAGAAGTGCAAAGTTCTTTTTTTTTTTTTTAGATGAAAGTAAATTTTGTATTAGATTTAGAAATCAAGGTCAAGGAGTCTGAAGAGAGGCACAGAATCCAAGCTGTCTGAAGTCCAGTGTGAAGTTTCTGCAGTCTGTGATGATTTGGGATCATCTGCGGTTGTTGGTTGTCGTCGGTGGATTGTGTTTTATCAAGTCCAAAGTCAACACAGCCATCTACCAGGAGATTTTAGAGCGTTTCATGCTTCCATCTTCATGGAAATGCTTATTACTTTTCATTTTCCAGCAGCACTTAGCATCGGACTTGAAATAATTTACTTTACATTTACATGAAAGTTTACCTGTTTGAATTAAATTACAATGAAAAAAAAGTTTTTCACAATACTCTCATTTTTTGAGATGCACTAGCAGAGTCCAGTCCAGAGTCCTGTAAATACCTACAAGTCTAACAAGGGACATAAAAAGGTCTCTAAATTGTTTGAATTAAATCGTTCAACTGGGCAGCCTCAGTAAATTTAGGCAGTGAGCAGTCTCAGTTTGCCGCCTCCAAATATTTTCTCACATGAACTGTGACAGAAGAAGAATGGGGCTGAATTCTTCCACAGCAATGTAAAAGACTGATGAACTCATTTAGAAAACTATTACTTGAACTTAAGCGGTTCTACAAGGTTCAGAATCATGGGATGCATTTAGTTTTTCACAGGTTTGTATAGGTAAAAGATTTTTGGAGTAATGTTCTCTGGGCTCAGATTTGAATTGCATCAAAAACAAATTGTGGGTAAAATTTGAAACGGTGACTGCAAGAAAACGGAAAGATTTATGTCTTTAAATTTACAAATTCCCTTGAGCACACAGAGGTTAATCCTATTTAAGTCTTTTGTGTTGGGTTTTTTGTACTTACTTTTACCACAGAAGAATATCAAGTAATTGTTAGCAATTAAATGTTAGAAAAGATAATGAAACCACATTTTAGGATCAAATGCTTTCTCATTTACAAGTGCTAAAAAAGTCATCAGTTTCTAGTGGATATACTTATTTTTATCCATGAAACAGTGATGAGTAGCACACACTGGATTTCTAGGATACCACATCTGATTGAAGAACAGTCACGACAGGTAACCGGTGTCTCAAAGGAGCAGTGGCTGCCAGGGTAATTGCTGCAGGGTTGATGTTGAGGGCATGAGGAGGAGTAGCGAGTGTCGACATGGTTATAGTCCACATGTGAAGGTGCTTCTCTTTCAATAGTGAGTCTCACCTTCCATGTTAATAGCTGTCCGTCTATCTTTCCACTCTCTTCCAGGCTAATGAGTCATTTATACTTTCCTTCTCCTCTCTTCTCCTCGAGACTGCATTGAACCTCACTGTGAAGATCTCATTATATGCCTAAATGCAAATTATGACAAATCATTCACTTTTTTTTACATGCTTTGTAATTGTCCTCAGAAATTACACTCTCTAATTTACGCTGCACCTGAGATTTAATTCTCTCCTCATTTTCAGCTCCTTTATTGAATATAAAAGACTTGCACTTTGGGGCTTTATCGTGTCACATTGTAGAAAGAGTAATAGGATCCCTGAAACTGTGATCCTTTTTTTAAAAAAAAAACAACATTTTTTCATTTTTTTGCTTACAGCATTGATAAAACTGTTTCACGTTTCTACATGGAAAACAAGACCCATGTAAATATCAAAAGCCAAACAGAACAACAGTCTGGTTGAGACAACAATTTATTAAAGAGACTGGAAGAGAGATCTTACCCGAGAGTTTCTGTGTATCTCATTTCTCCTGCTCTTGCTTATCATGCCGTTTATTCACTGACATTATGTGTTCTTTCCAAGCAAGAGTATCCAGGGTTCAGTTGGATCTACTTCAAGGTGAATCAGATAATCAAGTTTTCTTTCATAGCCAAAAACAGTTTGATATGGATTTTGTGCAGTGAGTGTATATGGCTGTGTGATTTTGTTTTGTACTCTTGTTTCCCTTCCTGTGTTAATCAGTCGGTGTGGGTCGTTGCCTGTTAACCCTGTTTGGTTTTTAGGGAAACCTGCCCCCGGACTACCGGATCAGCCTCATTGACATTGGACTGGTCATTGAATACCTCATGGGCGGGGCATATCGGTGTAACTACACCAGGAAGAGGTTCCGAACTCTGTACCATAACCTCTTCGGACCCAAGAGGGTGAGTGAATGAGTCTCACCTGAATTATCCTCTTAGTGTTTAATCAGTTTCAGATCTACTGTCATTAATCCAAGGAGCAGCACCAGCTAAATGAGCCTCATTATCAAACGTGTCCTCACAAGGATAAGTGGATAATAATATATTTCTTATACTAACATATTTATCAGAGAGTCTAAAGGTCAGCTGCGCTTTGCGGATGGTAATTAATTAACTTTTGGATTCAAGTTTTGATGATTTTGACCTGACAAATGGCAGAAAAGGAGATCTGCAGTGGGACGTCAGTGAGACACGTGACTTTTTTTGGACAAAAAGATGGGAGCGGTTTTTAGTAATTTTGTTTTTTATCAATACCAATTCCAGAAAAATGTTAGTCTGAAAGTACAGCAGAAAAATAGGTAAGAATAAAAATGACTGAGTGAGTCCAACATTTATGCTGCACTTTTTGAATCTATCACAAAAACCAGAGTTACAACATGAAAAAAACAAACAAAAATCCCCCCACGGTCACAGCAGAGGGACGCTTCTCCCTGAGCCTGGTTCTGCTGGAGCCTTCTTTCTGTTAAAAGGGAGTTTTTCCTTCCCAGTGTCACCAAGCAGTGGCCTGTGATTTGGTGCTATCTAAATATGCAAAATTACTCAGTTCCTCTATTGAATATAAAAGACTTACACTTTGGGGCTTTATCATGTCACATTGTAGAAAGAGTAATAGGATTCCTGAAACTGTGATCCTGTGTAATTGCCTGAAATTAGAAAAAGGCACCAATATGTTTAAGGGATTGATTTTGGGTTTCAACTGAGAAGAATTTAGTTAATATGCACATACTTACACAAAATTAGCTTTTATTTGTGTGTTAAGGTGCTGTTGATCAGCACAGGTTAAATATATGAGCATTGCTTCCCCTGTTATTCATTTACACATCAAGTAAAGTAGGAACACAGCATGCCCTATCATAAGCCTAATGCAACAAATCATCTTTGTGTAGCAGTTGCTCTTCATTATGCGCCGTCATCATCATCAAACTGCACACAGTTCATTACAACCCCACCAGCAAGTTATCTTGGTGATTAGTACACACCACCAAAGTGACAAAGTGATCTCTGAAATCGTGCTTTGTTTGATGGTTGTGTTTTATACTGCTGCACATGTTGCACATTATATACATTTTACATTCTGTTTTCTCATTCTGCCTCGAAAACCTGCACACTTGTGAGGAAAATGTAAACATGCATAACTGTATAAAACACAATACTTAATGATGCACTTTGGTGTTTGCACATTCAGTCGTGCGATTGCGAGCGTTGAGTGCAAGTGTGTATGGGAACCTTTGTGCATCTGTTTATCTTACTGTACAAGACTGCATGGTAGCCACAAAGCAGCTGGAAAGGCACAGATAACGTTTGAGGTAAGAAACAGGAGAGACAGAGCAAGGAGGCAAAATGAGAGACAAAGAAAGACAGAGTCACCTCCACTTTAACTGGGATTTTCTAGATCAAGTGAATGCACAGCCACATAGTTGTGTGCATGCACACATAAACACATGTTAAGGAAGAACAAAGTCTTGAAATAGATGTAGATATCAGAATCCCCACAAGAGATTTGGGTTATTTTTACCAACTCAGATGATGGCTCATGAATACATAATTCATACATGCCCTGCTTTAATGCAGATACACAGTACTGTACCAGATCTACAAATATAAATGCATTTAATACATGCAAGCAGAAAAGGATTGGATATTATTGCCATATATACAGTCACTCAAATGAGCACTAGGTGCTATCCCTAAGTATCAGTTCCATTTTGAAGCATGCAAATAAAAGTCAGTTTATTCTGACTCTGTTTAAAGGATCTTCTTGGCCTGTAAGTCTTGTGCTTAAAAAGTGAAGTGTGCTATAAAATACATTCAACAAGGTCTCGCTGTGTGTTAATGTTTCTTTTTCATTTCTAGCCCAAGGCTCTGAAACTGCTGGGGATGGAGGTGAGTCTTGATCCAATCATGGTTGTTATTTAGTCATTCCTTCACTGTTCCTAACCCTTATCTCTCATGCCTCCTCACTTAACTGATCTACAGTTTACTCATCTAAATAAGTGTGCTCATGTGTGCCGTGTGCCTCTCAGTCGATGAAGGGAAGCTCTAGATGTATATTTAATCTATTTTGCTGGTTAATTTTATACATTTCTGAGTCAGCTGAGTGCTTTTCACGCAAACAGCCAATAAAACAAAACAAAGTCATTTTGGTTTACAGCTTTTTCTCAGATTTATGGACTTTTTAAAAAGCTGGAGACTCATGCTCCAGACAGTTTAAATGCATATATATCTTGCAGTACATTTCAAAGCGGTCCTGCTGTATTCAGCTGAATAAGCTATGGATGACCTGATCAGATTTATGTGGTGTGTGGTGTAATTTCTTAAAGCTTCACAAAGCACTGTTCCTCAGAGGTATTTATACGCATGGAACAAACATTCCTTTGTTTTTCTGTATGTTGTGAATTTATCCCCCATGTGTCGGTGTGTTCTCTGTTGTTTTTGCCACGCCATTACCTTTCTATCTTCACAAAGCCTATTTATCATCTAGCCAGTATGTATGTCAGAAATACTGCTGTTAAAGGGTGACAGCTGTGATCCCTGAAGGGTTTCTTTTGTAATACTTGCAATCGTTTCAAGGATTGCAATAATTTCATTTCTGAATATCACTGAAATTTGCTAGCTTATACCAGGTATTTGTCACTATCTCTAATTGCTGAATATTTTACTGCTCTGCAATCTTTTATGTCCAGCTGATCTCTTGCACTGAAAGTTATTTTTCAAATGGATTTAGCGGTTTTCAACAGTCTAAATGTGAAATTATGTCATTTAATGACTGACTGGCAGCAGCTATGTCTCCAGAGACAGAGAGCCAACTTGGTGAAAAGCCAATAAATTTACCTCTTATAAGGTTTTTTGCTATTAATTGAACTGAAACTATATTATAAAGAAGTTAAATTATGTTTCAAATCTTGTGGAGATGTACATGAGCCCATACCCGCTCTGCATTATCTAGATTGCTTAGTATTTAGCACATTGTGCTCTAGCTTGTCTCTTCAAAATATGACTTTCCAAGCATTTATAGAAGATCAGTTTAGGCGTGTAGATGCAGTCGAACCAAAGTGTTCTTCAGAGGTTTACATCATGTAAAACTTTCAAATTTCTTGGGTGACACTTGTGATCAGTATTTACAATCCAAACCACATATATGCATAATGTTTTCCTTCTATACAGAAAAGATCTGAAAAATCCCTGAGAAATACTTTTATACAGATGCTTCTGTTTTCCCTTCAATTTCACATGTTATTGATCCCCGCTAGGATGACATGCCAATCCGAAGAGGTCGTCAGAAGACGACACGTAAACGAGAAGAAGAGGTGGACATCGATTTGGACGACCCAGAAATCAACCACTTCCCTTTCCCCTTCCACGAGCTGATGGTGTGGGCTGTGCTCATGAAACGTCAGAAGATGGCGCTGTTCTTTTGGCAGCATGGTGAAGAGGCCATGGCCAAGGCCTTGGTGGCATGTAAGCTTTGTAAGGCCATGGCACACGAAGCATCTGAGAACGACATGGTGGATGACATCTCCCAGGAACTAAACCACAACTCTCGGTGGGTGACATGATATATTTTCACGTTATCCCAATCTCTCTCCGTCTGGCTCACTCTTTATCTTTCCCTCCCTCTGCGAGCTTATGTGGTTTAAACAGGATATTCAAGTATAGTTTTATATATAAATAATGAATATTGTAGTACTTAGAAGAGCTGGAAGACATGGAAACATGCTGTAAATGATTAATGTAAAGCTGAGCTAAGAGTCTAGACAGGAGCGTCTACCTCATACATCAGTATATGTAGGTGGACGCACATACACACATGCCTTCCCTCATACAAACTGACCTGTTTCAGACTAGCTCTCATGGGATGTAAGTGACACATAAAAAGATCTAATAACATGCATCACCATTAGTTAAGGATGGGCATGTGA